CACGTTGCATTACATGATCTCTCAGGACCCGACAACATCATTTATGCAAGCTCAGCAATTGATTAGGATAATTTGATTAGAATAAATTTCTAGTTAAATATTCGTATTTAAAGAAGAAAACAATAAGAATGTCGTTTTCGATTTCGATTTTATTGTTCTTCTCACGAAGAATACACAAAGCACATAACCAACATATTCCTCGACTACGTACTCGCGAATTGATATTTCTATTTTACGCGTCACGTAATTATATGTAACTCTAAGTGCCGCAACTAAATTTCCAGCGAACCTCAAAGGGTGGGCCGTTTATTGGTTACTAACTCGGTCGACAGCGCCGATAAGGGCCGCACGAGATCGATCGATCGTGGATTAGTCGATCTTATGGTCGGTCTGGCGCTCAGCTCGCGCGTCTCCGTAACGTGCGGGTAATCCTCTCCGGATGCTCGTTAACGCTCCCGTGATTGACTCGTGCTATTAACCGGACGCAACAATGACAAATTGAACTCGTCACGATGGCTTGCTCGCTCGACGATACCCTTGCAACACGCTTTCTTTCATATCCGTTTTCATTCCCGAAATCCAATAAGTAGTGTAACACGTGCGCGTTCTAAATTTTTTAAAATACCATCGCGCAACTATTGCACCGATCTCGTCCTCCCGCTCTTTCGTTCATATTCTCTCTCTCTCTCTCTCTCTCTCTCTTCGGCTCGCTTAATCCTGCAATCGTATTGTACCAGACAGGTAATAGGTCAACGAATACAATTACATTGGAAAAAGTCTAAGTGCCGTTGAGAAAGAACTGATTATATGACTTTGTATTCACCCTTTTTCCGCGGTAACCGTGCATCACAGGCACCTTTCTTTCGACTTAAGATTTTGTATTTACCGAGCAGATTGGCCGATGTAAAGGGAATTAAAAGGGCGCGGGAGGCAGCGACGGCAGGAGTGATCCTCGTCTTTTGACATTGTTTGTATCCGATGAACCGGGCCAATTGGTACCGGTCCAGCCGCTCTGGAAACGTTCGCTTTTACCCGTCTCTTCAAGCAAACGAGGCATCGACTCTCTTTTCCTTTCCGTCCCGACCCGTCTCATCTCGTCTCGTCTCGTCTCATCGGATCGACGGAATCGCGTTTCCTTGCCCGCGGCCTCTTCCGCTTCCGGGCGAGTCGTGCACCTCTTTCTCGTGCTAAGCCTCCCGCACAATAGTCTCAAAGATAACCGAGCAAAAGAAACGTATTCAACTCTGCGATTTAATTCGCCTTTGCGCAGCTCTCTGTCTCTCTCCCTCTCCCTTATCTCTCTTTCTCTCTCTATGTCGTTTTCCGCGCAACCCTCGTCAAAGCGAATCTGTCTGTGAACTAGCGAATTTTGCTATGCAAAACGAATTCCGATATCCCGCGACAACGACCGAGACGCCGCCATTGCGACGGATAATCTGGTCGGCGGAGCGAGTCTCTTTCGCCGTCACGATATTTATCTCCGTGCACGTGCGTTACGTTAAACCACAAAACGCGAGTTTCCACGAGAGTTACTCGCGCGTAGTCCCATTAGTTAAATAAATCCCCGTAATTTCCTTTCGCGCTCTCTCCCTCACCGCACTGCCTCACCCCGACTACAGACACGATGTGATTTAATCTAACGAGCCGGCCGCGCTCTTGTCATGCGGCACGACTTCATCGCGCGACTTTATCGCGCCCAGTTTTATGGCTCGCCTGGCGTATGTACCGGCGATGTTTATAACGTATACACAATACGATATACGATAAGAAGAATAAAAACGGAAGAGCGCTCGTTCGCTCGCACGCGAGTCGAAAAGTGAAGAAGATTAAATCTGCTCGCGCGCGAATCTCGTCAAAAGGGGGCGCGAACTCTGATTCTTGAACTGTGCGCGGCGGGAGGTGTGTGTGCCCCCACTGTGTGTGAAAGACTGTGAGTCACGTCTTTTGTCAGCTATTTTTCACCCGGACTGGTGTCATAGCCGCGGGAGTAATCGGCTTTGATGCGATAACGTCGCGAGTCCGTCGCGTTAACCGCGTCCTAATTGACGGGCGTTAATCTCGCGCCAGGCCGTTTTGTAAACGGCAGGTCGCAAACATTTCGCCGGCTTGATTCTCAACCCTCCCCATCTCGACATCCGGTACATTCTCGCGAAAGGAGGTTAATACTCCTAATTTTCTCTCTATCTTGTTCCTTTTTGCTCTCTCTCTCTCTCTCTCTCTCTCTCTCTCTCTCTCTCTCTCTCTCTC